GGGGGGGGAAGAGTGCATGGCCAACCCGTGGCAGTTCTAATCCGCCAGCTGCTCCACAGGAGAAAAAAAAAGACATTCTCCTTTTTATTACCTCTGAAAACTCATTGGGGGGGGTCAGTTATGAGGGAGTTCACACTCAACAACATCTAACAACAACAATCATACTACCAGGAAAAAGTACTGAACTTTGGTCTGCCAAAAGAACAAAGAAATCTAACTTGAAAGAAACGTAATCAGGGTATTATTCCTCGGAAGTAAGAAGAGTGAGATTTCATCTCAAATATTTTGGAACATGTTGTTGGGAGCCAGTCTTTAGAAGAAGACATCATGCTAGAGAAGGTAGAAGGTCAAAGTAGCAGAGGAAGACCCTCAATGAGACGATGCAGTTAACCTCAGTAACTCCAACAACGGCTTTAAGCACAGAAAAGCCTGGGAGGATGGCACAGCACAGGGAAGTTTTAGTTTCTTTTTGGTTTCTTTGCCTTGCCCTTTAGACACAGAACTCCTGACCCATGGATGTTTTCTGTTAGTTTTTTTAAAGCACCCATGGAGTGAACCTTTCAATCTAATGTTCATCCACTCACTGAGTCTTGCTGAGAGCAGGCATTCAGGAATATTCCCTTAACTAGTTCAAAGTCTCAGCTCGCCAAATTGTTTACCAAGCACTTCCCACACGGGTCCTAGAAGGCACTAAGAGTTTTACATGCTGCTTTAATTGAAAGTTATAGTCTCTTAAAGTTACCGCAAGAGCACTGGAGTATCAATTTCTGGAGGCCCCAAGAGGCCTGAGGAAACAATAGAGAGCAGCAATGGCCCTGATGTGTGACAGTCGGGATGCGAGGACAGATAAAGGGAACCTGGGACAGCTCCCTCACAGAACCCTCCTCACTGCTCTCCTCTGTTCACCCGCACGCACCAGGGAACTCAAGTTCCTACTTCTGTCACTGTGGTGTGGGCAAGGCTCGATGAAATAACAAAGCAACTGCTTTCTGCATCCAGGAGCAAAGATTTGATATTTTAAAACAGCTACTTCTGGTACTTTATAATTAATTTGATATATTTACCTAGTGGAGTAAATTTATGACTAAATGTCTACAACCAGTGGGTTCCTGACTTTCCCAGGACCCTAGCTGTGGCATAAGCCTCCTCTCAGCAGGACTGTCAGTTTTGCCTACACCTGAGTCCTTTTTGTCTCCCACCTGACTAGAAATACCTACCTGGGCTCCAGCATAGGTTGAATTATATCTCCCCTCACCTCATATCTTGAGGATTAATTATTTTGATTATTTTTTGTGTGTACACCATCAAATCTGATCTGAACGGAACAGGAGATTGTCCCTCCGTCTCCATCAGAGCATCTGGTGGATTTAAACGTGTGCCTTTGGGATTGCATTGCAGCTTCCTGCTACTAGGCCACCAGAGCTCCTCACCTCATATTTTTATACCTACATTACATTTAAAAAAAATTAGAAAATAACAAGAGTTTAAAGAAAAATCACCCATAATGCCATGTTTACATATTCAGAGTTTTTGTTATTAGTTTTCCTTGAACTGACAACTCACTATAAACCCATAAACAACAGATCTGAACTTGTTGTTGTTAGGTGCCACTGAGTACTACTTATAGCAATCTTTTTTTTTTCAATTTTATTTTATTATTTTTGTGTGAGTGTACCATCAAATCAGATCTGACTGTTACAGGAGGAGATTGTCCCTCCTTCCCCAGCAGAGCATCTGGTGGATTTGAACTGTGCGCCTCTGGGATTGTAGTTGCAGCTCCTTACCACTAGGCCACCAGAGCTCCCCTTACTTATAGCAATCTTATGAACAAAAGATCTGAATCCAGTCCTGTCCTGTGCCATCCTCACATTTCCTGACACACAAGAGGCCACTGCAGCAGTAACTGTGTCAAGTCACCTGGTTGAGAGTCTTCTTCTCCTTTGCAGACCCTTAACCCTTCCCAACATCATGTCCCTCTCCAAGGAACAGACCTCCTAACAACATGTCCAAAGTGTGTGAGATGTAACCTCATCATTCTTGCCTCCAAAGAGCACTCTGGCTGCACCCTCTCCACGACATATCTATTCGTTTTCTTGGCCGTCCACAGCTCAAAGGCATCAATTCTCCTCCTGTCATCTTTATTCATTGTCCTGGTCTCAGATGCATAGCTAGTAATTGGAAAGACGATGGCCTGAATCACACGCACCTTAGTCCTCAAATTGACATCACTACTCCTCAATAATTTGGAAAGGTCCTTAACTGCAGACTTTCTCAGTGCCACGCATCTCCTTAAAGATAAATTAGGTACATATATCTTTTCACTGTTTGCAGAACAAACTGTGCCCTCATTCCACAGCTTGTATAGGGAAATGCTCAGCAAGTGAACCACCCTGACTGAGGCTACACTACTCCAAGAGACAAGATTCTTCCTTTGGGCAGGGGCTAGCTCATGTGTACAAATGTGGTACTAAAGTGCTAATGCCATTAACACAGCCACTGTGTAAACCTCCAAATCTGTGCTGTATTAACTGCTTAATGTACTTAAAAAGTGTGGGTTTGGTTTCAGATGACTATGATAAAGTAAAGCTCACAATACAGCGAGTCACTCAATTTTTTTCAGTTTCACAGTGCACATCAGAGTTGTAGTTACATTATCCTGGAGTCTATTTAGGGAGTTCTGCAGTACAGTCCATACAGAGTTGCACGATAGCCTACAGCAGACATCTCTCTTGGTGGTCTGAATCCACAGAGGGTTTAGGGTGTGGTTCACAGAAGAAAGATGGGCAATCTCCTCCCATGCAATTTACAGCCTAGGAAACCCACTCTACTGTCAGCGATGAGTCAGTTCTAACTCGATGGCAAGGAGCTTGAGTGGTCTATTAAGTGTGCAATCATATCATGGACAAATCTGAAATACTACTGAAACTACTAAATATGACAAAGACACACAAAGCGAGAACATATTGTTGGAAAAATGGCACTGAAAATCTTGCCCACCACAGTTGTTGCTGCTGTTATGTGCCATCCAGTTGGAACCAGCTCACAGCTGACTCTCCAATGGGTTTTCAGAGGCTGTAAGGGAGCTCTGGTGGCCTAGTGGTAAGAAGCTGTGCTGCAATCCCAAAGGTATATGGTTCGAATCCACTAGCTGCTCCATGAGAGAAGAATGAGCATCTCCTTCCAGGTGACTTACTGCCTCTGTAAACCTGCTGGAGGGTCAGCTATGGGTGGCTTCCAGGTCTACAGCAAACAACAACAAACAGAATCACATGACAAGAGAGTGTCTTTCATTCTCCCACAAAGCAACTGGTAGATTTGAACCATTTGTTTTGGGTTAGCAGTGCAGCTCTTTACCACTAAGCCACTTGAAACCCTGCTCAATTCAAGGTTGCAAAATCCTTCAAGTTGTGAAAAAAACACAGTATCTATGAAATGAGGTATGCCTGTAATCTCATCTAATCCTCTAAACAATTCTAAAAGCAGACTATTGTACCCATTTCATAATGAGAATAGATAAGTGGTAGTACTGAAATGTCACCAATCAAGTTCATTCCTTCTCTCCCTCTCCTAGTCACAGAACATCCCTGCAGACCTGTAACACAGCAGACACCAAGAATACCAAGCAGAGGAGGGAGGGATTCAGCTGCAAAGCTGAGCCGGTCCCTTGCACCCAGGACAGCCTTTTCAAATGCCAAGCCTATTCCCCAGAAACATTCCTGAGAGTGAAACCCATGGCAGGCCACTCCCACCAGTTCAGTGGACCAGCCTCACTGCAGACATACAATGGACAATGAGTCATCAGCTTTGAGTAAAAAAGCAACAAATTAACACTCTTTAAACACTTTCATTTACATTCCTGGTAAAGCTTTGAGAGAATAATGGAAAGAACTCAGAAATGAAAAACAGTTTGACTGCAGACAGAAACTTTAATTTAGAATAAATTGTAAGAAATTAAGGTCATCAACTACAACGTCAGCTATAAAATGGAAATTGGTGTTCTAACTCCCAAAACATGTAAACGTTCTCAAAGCTCAGTTTCTCACACACCAAGGGACTTGAACTTCCAGCCATCAAAAAGCCCAGCAACCGGAATCATTTATGAGAAACCTTTGGCAAGCAAATCCTGTCCAATTGGCAGGTGTCCCTATAAGGAAAAGTGGAACAATCAAGAGTTTACATACCCTTGTCTGTGAGATTTTTTGGAATGGCTTGAATAGTAAGAATATCCAGAATATGTGGATTCGGTATCCATAGCAAAGGAGGGTGAGGGAGCAGGTACTGTTTCTCTTTAGAGGTAGAGAACTCTGCCCACCTAACACCTTAAGACTCCAGGGGTCTGGACATCAGTGAAGCGACTCTTTAGCAGGAACAAATTCTGAGAAGAGAAAAGAAAAACGTATCAATCTTCAAAGCCAATGTAAATGGGGCTGGCATATATGGCAGTAGCAGCGTTCAACACACAGCAGTCTCTTCTCTGGGGTCTCTGTGACAGAAGTGACGGTAGGAGTGAAACACGTGACTCTGAACTCCCACAGGGCAGCTCACCAAGGCAGGGAAGAGCTCCCCTAGGTGTCTGGGGGGGAGAAGCAATGGCAGCTCAACAGGCCAATCTTGTCACAGTGGGAGGAGAACAAGAGGTGGGAGGTGACGACCCCATGCATTTCCTGAGCTCAGCATCATCCTTCACTGCATCTGAGGCTAGAGGGTGGGATCCCCACACAGACAGCCCCGGACACTGTGGCCACCCACCCACTGCCTGTTAGCTGGTCTGTAAAAACAATACTCAGGAAGTACCTTTAAAGAGATTTGGTCATAGTTTCCAAAAACTGGTATTTTTATAAATGAAATACTCAGTTTCTTTGATCTAGGAATTCAAATGCCTGATCATTTTAGAGACCTGATCTCTTCTTCAGGGAGTTCTGGAAGCTTAGTGGTAAGGAACTGCACTGCCAATCCAAAGGTGCAAGTGGTTCGAATCCACTAACTGCTCCACAGAAGAAAAATGGGCAATCTCCTCCTGTGCAATTTACTGCCTCTGAGAATGGGTCCATTCCAATTCAACGGTACACAACAACAATCTCTTCTTCAAGGAAAAGCTACTAATACTACAGAGTCCCTGAACTGCTAACAAAATGTTGACAACTCTACTCAAAGAAGACTCAGAAGAAAGAACTGAAGATGTATTTCCCAAAAAATCAGCAATAAAACCCCCAGGGAACACAGTTCTAACTCTTGACATTCATGAGGTCACCATGAGATGAAGTCAACTCCACAGCAACTGGCCAAAATCTAATGAAAAGCTAGAACACTCTAAATGCCCTCCTTGCCCAGGGCAAAACCAGAAAGGCAATAAAACCAGGGCATACAACCCAAAAAAATATTATGTAGCTATTTAAAAGAATAATCATAAAGGACACTTTCATGACATAATGACAAATAAACGCAAGACTGTAGACACATCCTGAATTTATACTCCTGAATTTAGACCACGAAAAAAAAAAAAACCCAACAAAAAACGCTTTTGTAAGGATGAAAATTTGAAGAGTGCATCAGAAAATGAAATCAGGTGGTTTAATAGAGACAGAATCCTGGGTCGTTGCCTCCAGTTTCATAGTTTCATTATATATTGGTTTTGCAATAAAAATTAAATTGAAAACATTTCCAACTACATTCCTTTCACCTGAGCCCCCAAATGCTAACCCTTAACTTCTAGAAAACTGAGATTCACAAGTTTTGCCTCTCTCAGCCCAGCAGGGCTCCTCCCCCAGCACTCCCTTCCCATGGAAGCTGTAACAGCAAACAGAGCCAGTAAGATAAGTGAGAAGAAAAAACAAAAGAGCTGCAAATGCCAAGCTCCTGCTTCTACAAGGAGGGGCCAAGTTTCCATGACCCCACATGCAAAAAGGACTTAGACCCAAAATGCCTACAAATCCACAACACTGCCTTCAAATCCTACCTGGGTTAGGATGGCCATACTCTTCCCATGCATCCTTTGGAATGTGAGGTGCATTAAGGGATAATGCCTGTGGTCCAGGATGTCTGGGTCATCATTTCTTTTGTTCTCTGCCCTCAGCAGCCCAAGGCTAGCAGTGCAGAGGGACACCTGGGTTCTAGCCAGAACTGTGCCTTTGCTGAATACAACCTTGGTTAAGTCTAGTACAAACTAGGGTAAATTTTCCTGAACCACAATTTCCCACTGCTATCAAGTCAAGTCTAATTCATTGAAACTCTGTCTGCTTTCCAAAGCTGTAAATCTTTGTGGGAGATTATCTGTCTTGATGCAGAACAGCTAGTGGAATTTAAATGATGACACACTATACTACCAGGGCTCCTTAAGCTTCAGTCTGCTCATTGTAACACGGGGATAAATCAGCTAATCACCACCTACAGGGAGCTAAACTGAAGATATGAGGGACATAGGGTGTTTAGAGGTAGGCTACAATGCAGGTTTTATGCACTTAGGATCTCTGTGATCTTCTTAGCCAAGTGATTCAACTTCTCAGAACCTCAATCTTCTAGACAATTCAAGCAGCAGATATTGTGTCAAAAGCACAGACAATAGTAAAAGCACCCAGATACAGCACCAGATCATTCCTTTTCTGCAAAACTATCATTTAATTGTTGGATCCAGGAAAGGGGTGGTTATCAGCCCTCCCTTGCCGGCTCTAGGTCTTTCCCAGGAAGAGAAAGATTTGGGAAGGGCAGAGGGCCAGTGTGTGTGTGCTGGTCTCCACACTGCTGGCTGGTGGTTAGACAGCCTGGGACTTGCCTTTCAGCCCACAGCTGGATGACCAGCTCTTCCCTTGCTCTTATTAAAGCCTCAGATTTCTTCTTTTGTAAAATAAGGCCACCTACTTTGAGAGACAGACTGCAAATTGGAAGGTGCAAGCAAGCATAGCTGGTTTCTTGTTTGTTTTTTTTTAGGTTCATTTTACTCTTAGACCAATCTCCACTCTTCTAGAAAACTTTTAAGAGTTGGCTCATCTTTTCCCTGTCTACCCTGTTTTCCACTATTTCCATTAAGAACTTCAATGGGGGCTAGAACGAGCTTTCAGCACTTCGGATTCCCACTTCCTTTTCTGCTCCGGGCTCTGCTGTTTTTCATCTGCTTCATACCTGGCAGACATCACCATTAAGAGGTGCAGCCAAGATACCCAAGCCATGCTCTGAACAGAGCCTCTTTCCTGGTGCACCCTCTCCAAAGACTCTGCTGACCTGCAGACTGTAAAGCCGGCTTCCTGCTTCGCCCACACAACCAACTGCCCTCTAACAGATTTATCATTAACTCTTTACAACTCCTATACTTCCCCCCTACACTCCAACCTGTAACTTTAATAACTAGTTTATAATTATTATCATTAATAACTTTGCAGGAAATATACACAGCAGGTTATTCAACAATTTCCGCATGCAGAGTTCTTTGCAAACCCCTTATTTTTGACTTCCCTTCCCATTCCAACTTCTAGCCAATTCCTTTGCTTCTGTGCCTCCAGCCAAGTGCTGCTGCAGTCTCAGAAGCAGGCAGCTCAGGTCTCACAGAGTTGGTCCTCGCTCCTCACTTCCTAGCTGTGCAACCTTAGGGTAGATGTCTACCTCTCAGAGCTGCTACTTCACCTTGCTCCAGTAACATATGAGGTCATTTTACACTCTTTTTATGGGTGCTGTGAGGATTAAAGGGCACTCTCTATGTGAAACCTCTTCCTTATAGTGATCCAAGAGTCATCTGCCCCTTTTCCACTCGCATGATGACATCATTCTTTGTCCTCAGAAAAACCACAGCCTTCCATTAAGGCAACTCCTGGCTTGGGTTCTTGAGTGGCCTTTGGGGAAAGGCTTTACCTTATTGCAGTCACTCTTGTCTGGTCTTTTTTCCACTAGGTTTGCCTACCCTTACCAAAGGCAAAGATAATTCCTATCTCTGCTTCCTCACTTTTGTTTCTGACACACTTGCATCCTCTCTCTGTCTGACGCTAACTACCCAGATGTAGGCTTCTGTCCGTTCACCAATCACACAAGGCTGGGGTCCACACAAGTCCTTCTAATCAAACTGCCAGACAGAAACCAGCCCCTGCTGGTCTCACAGCTCCTGGTAGGTTTTAGAATTCATCAGAATGGCTCACAGAATGGAGTGCACTCACTAACTCCAACTTTTAAAGATAAAATCTCAATAGGAGACAGACAGGTGAGGTCTGGGAGGATTTTGCAGCCCAGTACTGCATGTTCACAGAGAGAGGGGTCCTCCCAAGTACATCATCAATCTGCAAACCTAGTAAGAGGTTCCAAGGCCCTAAATAATAATCACTGGGGCTTCAATTGTATCTGTATGACTGGGGCCTCAATGCACAGTTAACATGGGCCAACTGAATCTATATGTAGCTATACTGACTGTATCATGGAGGGGGTAAGGGGTAGTTCTTTCTACTGAAGTTAACTAGAAGGCAAATGTGATCCTTCAGCTCTCACCTCACTTACACAAGCTGTCACCTGGCTATTAATAGTAATAATAATAATAATAATAATAAAAGACACCGTGGATCTCCAATGCTATTTTCTGAAACTGGACCCCAAGGTTAAATGAAGTACTTGGACCTACATTCATTCATTCATGGCAGGGGGCAGGACAAAGCTAACGTCATCAAGCACAGAGGTTTCTCCTGGCAGCTACTCCCCACGCACAAAACACGCCTGCTGTGCTTCTCCACCAGTGAACTGTTTTACAAGCTCCTTGGGGATAGGAAGTACAGTGTACTTACACCTTGGATGCTCAGCACATACTAGACATCCAACAAACATTTTTATAAAGAGTAAGTTCCAAATCTACATTCACACTCAGCTGCTTCTTGTTCAATTTGAAATTACTATGACCTGTCACAACCGCGTCCCAGCCAGCACTAGACTTTCCAAGTCCCTCTGCCAAGTCAATAAAATCATCCGATCCATCTCAGCCAGGAGACCACTGGTAGTCTGAATCTACCAGCAGCTCCGTGGGACAAAGATGGGCAGTATCTTGCCGTTAAGATTTTACAGTCCTGGAAACTATATCTATATATAAATAAATGCATGGTCACTATGAGTTGGAATTGGATTGACAGCACTAAGCTTATCAGTGATCTCTGAGAATTCTGTGATGCAAACAGATAAGCATGAGGCTGCAAAATGGAAGATTTGTCGTGGAGTCTCCCTGTCTCTCCATATAATAAAGGTTCAAACACAAAACTCAAACACATTTTCATGGAGTCAGAGCCAACTCATAGGTGACCCTCCACTGGGTTTCCAAAGCTGTAAACAATATAGGAGGATGCTGCCCACCTTTCTCCCTCCTCGCCACTACTGGATTTGAACTGCCAGAGAAGCCTGTCCTTTGGATTAACACAT